GCCCCGCGTCGGGCTCTGTGCTGACTGCCAGCTCAGAGCCTGGAGCCTGTTTCAGTCTGTGACTCCCTCTCTCTCTGACCCTCCCCTGCTCACGCTGTCTCTCTCTCTCTCCTAGAAATAAATAAAACATTTAAAAAAAAAAAGATGGATGCATTTATCTTAGTGAAAAATGTAAATGGAGGAGAAATTAGAAAGGACACTTTCCATCTCAAAGAAATTCTGAAGCTGAGTCCACCTGTTTGTCAGGTGACAGTTGGGAGCTGAGAGGGTCAGAGACAGAGTTTTGTGTTTGTTTTGTTTTGTGTCCTCACAGTACAGGAAGCTTGGTAAAGATTTTGGGCTAGGAGAGGGTGCACAGCTAGGAAATTCACTCGTTTATTCAACAGACATGTACCTACCCTGAGTTAGTGTGTTGGGTATCAAACTTGCTGATTTCATGACCCCTTTATGCTTTCAGAAACCATTAAGGGTCCCAAAGAGCTTTTGTTTATTCAGGTTATATCTGCTACAACCACATTGGAATTAAAACTTCTAAAATATTGATCAATGGGCCACCTGGGTGGCTCAGCCGGCTAAGGATCCAACTCTTGATTTCGGCTCAGGTGGTGAGTTCACGGTTTGTGAGTTCAAGCCTTTCATCAGGCTCTGTGCTGACAGGTTGGAGCCTGGAGCCTGCTTTCGATTCTGTGTCTCCCTCTTCCCAGCCCTTCCCGCTCTCTCTCAATAAATAAACATTAAAAAAATAAAATATTAATTGTTGACTCATTTAAAAATAACAGTAATAAGCTCCTTACATGTTAACACAGCATTTTTAATGAAAAGTCATTCTAGTTTCCAAAACAAAAAACAGTTTAATAAGGTAAGTCTCTCTGATGTGCAGCCTGGCTGAAGACATGGGACTCTCACGTCTGTCTCTGCAGTCAATGTGCCTGCCCTGTGCTGTATGGTGAGGCGCACAGAGTCAGGAAGAGGGTCCAGCCTTGTGCCGTCATATAGTCGGGAAAGCGAGGATCTCAGGAGCCGCCACTGTGAAGAGCACTGTGCTCGGGATGGTGCAACAGGACTGGTGGATTTTGCTCCCCTAATGTTGGCTGAGTGTGCACCACGTGCCAGGAGCCAGGAGGAACTTAATGTGCGAGGCTAAAGTGCTCGGAGGTTGAGACCGCATCCACGTTGGGGCTCTCCAGACACCTGGTCCACGCACATTGGGGAAGGGAGTCGTGCTGGAGGCTGAGGGAAGAGCCAGCAGGCACTGAGCGGACTGTGGGGTTGGATGCTAGGACACCGAACGATGTAGGGGCTGCTCCTGTCTTGAGGAAGGGAAGAGAGCGGTTCTGGCACGAGAAGGTGTCAGCCTTTTGTTAGAAGAGGTGTGGGGGCCTGGGAGAGCAGGGCAGCTGCGTGGGTGCAGGAGCCCCCAGGGAGTCCAGTCTCAAGTTCGGATGCTGCACGACGTGACCCTGACCCATGTGGAGCGTGTGGACTATCCCGGGCCCAGCCCAGGTAGCTGCTGGGTCACTCGCCCCTCGCCCCTCGCCCCTGGCCCCTGCAGCCCCCGCAGCAGCCAGAACAAGGAGGATGCTATGAGCACACCTTTATTCCGATGCCTTGTTTCTGACTGTTTTTCCTTTGCTTTTTTTCAGACCACGCAGACCTTTCAAGTTACCAAAAAGGTAAAGTAATCTGATCATCTTATTAAGTAATAAGGTTGTTGTATGCTTTCCCTGAAGTATTTCCTTCACGTTTTGCTGCTGCTTCGGCCTCCCTCATTCATATTTTTATGAAGGAAAAGTAAATTTACCTGAACTGGCTGCTCGAGCAGTCCTCTGTCTCTAGAACTGGTGGTATTGGTCTCAAGGTTTAGATTCTGTTTGTGGTTCGTTATTTATATTGGCTGAGTTGTCTCTCCTTCCTTCCTGGTCTTCTTTGTCGAGGTGAAAAACTCTGTTCTGCCCTGACCTGGGCTCGTGGTGCTTGATTTTTGATGAGTTATCTGTGTTTCTCCTAAAAATGTTGTCACTGTATTAAAATGGAGGTGGTATTTTAGGTGGAAATTTTGAACTTTATCTTTTCAGTAGAAAAGCAAAATTTTAGATGGAACAGTGTTTCTAAGTAAAAGCCAAAGCATGGCTTCCTCGGCGATGTGCCTGCTTTGGCACGTCCAGATGTCACACTGTCGCTCCGCGGGGTCCACATGTCACAGTGCTGCGCTGTGGGGACCAGGGGTCACACTGCCGCTCCGCGGGGTCCAGATGTCACAGTGCTGCACCACGGGGACAGGGGTCACGCTGCCGCACCACGGGGACCAGGGGTCACGCTGCTGCACGGCGGGGACCAGGGGTCTCTGAAGTCCGCCTGCTAGAGGAGCTGAGGCCGTGACAGCTGGATCCTGGTCAAGAGCCAGATCCTCTCTTTCAAGTGTAATTACTACATGGATTTCAATTAGGAGATTCCCTTTCCGTTCAAAAATTATTTTTTAAAATTGCAGTAAAATATACATGGCATAAAATCTACCATTTTAACCGTGTTTAAGTGCATGGCTTTGTTGCATTAGCTTCACGTTATGGCACATCCAGGCCACGGCCATCCACAGAGCTTCCTCAGTCCTGCAAGGCAGGCTCTTTGTCCCCGCTACACGTCCTCCACGTCCGCCCTCCCCTGCTGCTCTAGTCTCCGTCTCTGTGGAACAGACCAGCCGTCCCTCCTATGAGTGGAGTCACACAGTTTGTCCTGCTGGGACTGACTAATATCAGGATGATACCCTCCAGTTTCGTCTATATGCTCACAGGTGTCAAAATTTCCCTCCTTTTAAGGCTGAGTGATATGTGTATTTGCATTTTGTTTATCCCTTTTTGCAAACAGAATTATGGCAGAAAATAAAGGAGAGAGGTTATACAAGTAAATATGACATGTCAGGAGAATGAATTTCCAGTTTTCCACAAATAATAGAGCTGTTTCTAAGGACTAAGACTTTTGAATTTTGAAAAGATTCATACATATTTTTCCATTATTAGATTGGTATTTTGAAAAGTCCTAATAGTTTCTTTATTTCAGTATTATATATGCACACAAATACAACTTCTTCAGAAAAGCCTTTCCTCCTTCCCTTCCCCACTGTAGCTGGAAATCTTCTGTTAACTTCACAAATCATTCACCTGTATCCCTTCTAAAAAGACATATTTCTTTACTTGATTTTGTAAGTATTTGTCAAGTTGTCTCGTTTTCAGTATCAGGTTCCAAGTTCCTTAAGGGCAAGGTTCGTGTCTGCCGTGTTTCCCCAGATGCCTGTGCCCTTGATCTGTGATGTTACCTGTGCATTGTACTTACTTCTTTCCAACAAAGAACAAGTTCTGTTTCCTCCTTGCTTTTGGGAAATTTCTCAAGCTTCTGTCATTCTTCCCACTAAACTGATAGTTCATGCTGCTGGAAAAATTTGATTAAAAACACTTTGATCCTAACCCCAAGGACAAGAGGAATACGGAGCAGTTATTAAGGGAACTAGAAGGGAAGAAACCAAGGAAAAAGAGATTTTCCGGAAGAAAGGGGTAACTGCTCAGTTCAGGGAGGCTGAGGACCATGACTGGTTCGTAGTTTCAGCAGGTTCAGAAGAGTCACAGGACCAAAGCCGGGCTGTGAGGGATGGTTGGGGGTCCCGTTAGGGAGAGGCCTGGGTCCAGGGTGCTCATGCTGTCTGCTCAGAGAGAAGGGGAGAGAGAAGAGACTGTTCCAGAGAGGCAGGGAGGGGCAGAGGAAAGCATCTTCGTGAGCCGAGGGAGGAAAGTGCTGTGTGGAAGCCCCGTTGTGGTAGGACATGCCCCCACAGTGTCGCCAGAGCGTAAGTTACCCTGTGAGGCACTTCGTTCATTTGTTTGGACAGATCGGAAATTCCTGGTCTTCCCTGGAGAGGCCCACAGTACGGTGGCTGAGGTCTGGGAGTGTGGTGAGGGTTGCTCGTGAAAACTGCGGGGCGCCGTGTCCGCTCAGAGCACAGCTCAGCCACAAACACGTGTAGGTCGCCCTGCCCTTTCGTGCCCCGCTCCTGTCCTGTAGAAGGGACGAGTGTCTTCTGACCCCCGGCCCTCCTATGCACGGTGCCCGGGCATCACCATGGCCTCACGTGGGGGCCTGCTTAGCAGCGGGACAGACGCGGATGGCGTGTGCAGTTTGCTGGGGTGTTGTGTGCAGAGCCCCAGCATTCAGGCAGACACGAGACACTGTCGTGTGCCACGCAGGAGGACGTCTGTATTCGAGCCGGGGGTGCCTTTGACGGTCTTCTCCTGAGGACACGTGTCCCTCATCAGAAACATAACGCACGGGTACTTTGTTCTTTTAACATAGTTAGAACATAGACCTTGAACCCAGATTCACCAGCAGTGCAATTAGTGGAAAATGTAGCGGTGACATTTATAGGCCATATTTAATTTCTTTTCCTGCTCCAATTTTCCTGCTTTCTTAGGTTTTTATCTTAACATTATAGCCATCATCTGGGTTTCCTGCTGTACATGAGCTTTTGTTTCCCATGAGGTGCCCACGGCTATTTGGCCTCCAGCACAGACCACAGGAGTGGCAGAGGTGCCCCCAGCGCTAGCATAGGCTTGCTGAGAAGCATTCGTCTTGAGTATACTTTACCCCGAAGAGTTGGGGCTTTCCCCCCACAGAGCTCACGGCGTGTGAGCAGTGGTCTGTGGGCAGGGTGAGCGCATGAACCATGTGCCATGTGAGGGGGGGCGAGCTCTGGGATGCCAGGGGACGGGGATGGGAGTCACGGATGCCTGGGGGTGTCCTACGCAGTCAGCGCGCATACCTGGTGTGGGACAGCACTGTGGGACCCAAACCCCACAGGGAAGGAAAGCAGTTACTGGGGAGGGCTTTAAGGCTGCAGTGCATGTGTGTGCAGATTGCTCAAGAACACAAAACAAAAGTCATTCATTATGTGGGTAAATTAACCCACAGTGCGAGCACCAAGCACACTTGGGGGCCCACTGCCTGCACTGGCAGCGTGTTTGTAGGTGAGAATGAACAGCTCCTTAAAGTATAGTGAGTAGCTGTCTAAGCCTGGGCTGTTCTCATTTCCCAGGGCTGATATTTTAAAGATCTAAAATGTAAAGGACCCTTTTTAAGTCTGAAGCCATGAACAGAAGGTCTCAAATGTGCTGCTGACAAAGGACTTTATTGCTTCGAACCCAGTTCCGAAGATCTAAGTTTACATTTGGTGGAGCAGGAGATAAACGCAGAGGGTGCCAGCACCGGGCGTGTTCTCGAAATGGTGTTTACGCTTGAAGAGCCGCAGTCAGCACCTGTGATTTCTGTGTTTTCATTACATCCAGAATATATTTTCAGATCTATTTCAAAAGATTATTCCATCTTACTTAGCATAATTTTTCTTTAGTGGGTTTTTAAATTGAGAATTTGCAGGCTTGTATATAACATTCAGAATCAGAGGCATGTGGACCTATGTGGTTTTGCATCATGAAATTAATGTTCGTGTGGCTTGGGAATGTAATTTAAAATGCGAATTTGGGGGAGCGTACATTTCTGACAAGTAGACTTAATCCCTTGTGTTTGAAGCAAGAAGTGATATCATAGTGGTTAGGAGGCCTGACTGGAACCAGACTACGGGGGCTCCTATTTTGTGACCTGTTTATGAGATGTCAGTGACACATGACATTATATTAGTTTCAGGTGCCCAACATAATGACCCAGTATTTGTATATATTGTGCAGTGATGACAATAGTCTATTTGGTACCCGCCACCACATGGAGTGACAGGGTTCTGTTTTCTTGTGACGAGATCATCTAAGATGGGCTCTGTTAGCATCTCCCGGACATGCGCATAGCGTTACTTACCACAGCCACCATACTGTGCTGCGCCCCTAGGGCTGGCATACTTCGTAGTTGGGCCAGCGTCGTGACCCTGGACAGTTACTTAACTTGCATCTCATAAAGCTGAAGAATTAAGTGCGGCGCTGCAGGTGAAGCCCGAGAACCACCAGTGCTCCTGGTGAGTGAGGTGACCTTGAAGAGCGCAGGACTGAGAAGTGCCTGGGGCAGCGCAGAGCATGATCATGTTGTATTTTAACTTCCCTGTTAAAATGTAATTTGAAGTCCGTCTCCCCAGAAGGCCAGATCCATGGAGTTGAGGAATGGGAATGTGAACATTAGCAGCCTTTCAATAGAGACAAACAACGTCTTCTTTCAGAGTGACGTTTAGAGCCACCAGCGTCATGGAACCATTAGTCTGATTTTGAAGGAAAAACCCACAAATACCTTAGTAAGGAGCCAGAAATAGCCATCACCACAGCCAAGCGAGCTAACATTGTTGAGGATTTGAGAGCAACTGTCCACAAGTGAAATGCTTCTTTTTTCTCTAAGAAAAATTCAAGAGACCTCAAGTTGGCAAGATATGTCTTGAATTTTAGAAAAATTCCGTTCAGTCAACTTCTGTTGAGGACACAGTTCACATCAGGATCCGCAGGTGTCAGGACGGGGAGGCCCAGCGTCCTACGGAAGGGAGGGGTGCCCGGATGACACGGCTCCATGGTGGTTTGTTGGAGACAGAAGGGGAGACAGCCAGGCTGCCACGGCTGGAGAGTGAAGAGAGGGGTGTGGGCGACGGTGCTGTTGCTGCGCTAAATGAGTAAAGAACATGCACGTCTCCGCCCTTGTGGGACTCAGTGTGATACCTTCGTCAGAGTTTTAGCTGGAAGGACAGCGGCGGGTGTGTGGGGAGGGTCTGGTTGGTTATTCTTGAGAGCCATGAGCCTGTTTGTCGGCTGAGTTCTTTTCCAAGAGCTGACAGAGCACAGGATGGAGAAAGGGAGTCACTGGAGGAGGTGTGGGGCTGGGTCCTCTGCTCCATGTGCCTCCCTCCCACGCAGAGTGTGGACGGTAGCTGCTCTCCCCCACGAGCAGATGGACGTGTGAAGTGTCTTCCCTCCTGCATCTGTTCCTGATAAACTCCTGGACCAGGCCTGGAATAGGAGGGTCGCACGTACTGCTCTCTTCGGCAGCAAGGCCTCTTGCTGCTCCTAAGCAGCCTCCTGTGTCCTCTCTGCTCTGCAGTTACGCATCCCTCATCGCTGACTGGCCCGTCGTGGTCCTGGGCGTGTGCACCGCGTTCATCGTCGTCTGTGCCCTGGTTGGGGTGTTAGTGCCTGAGCTGCCTGACTTCTCCGATCCACTGCTGGTAAGGAAAACTCGGCCACTCCAACTTCTTTCGCCCAAAATTATCTCAGAAAAATCAGTATTTTACTGCATGTTACCTTATGTAATTTATATCACGTTTCTTTTAAAACCTTCTCAAGCCATCGGTAGGGGTGCAGCTCTCCTTCTGAAGAGTAAAGCTGGCCCATCGTGGTTTCAGGTTCTTAGAGGGTCAAGGAACTCGCTCTCCATTACAGATCTGGAAACTTTGGTTCTTGGCTCCCACATTTAAGCTAAAAAGCAATAAAATGGAGAATCTGCATTCTATAAGAGTATATTTGTGAAATCTTTAGGACTCAGTGTCTCTTCTTTCCCCTCAAAGGAGTTAGAGGAACTTCAGTATTATTAAGAGCAGAGTCTGTTTTTAAGTAAACATTCCTGTAAAACACTAATGTGCAGGACGTAATCTGATGTGACCGTAATTTTCATAACACCAAAGTCTTTACTGAAACCCTTAGGTATGAACTGGAAAGAGAACCTTCAGATACAGGGTTTCCTCGTAGCTGAGACGGCTAATGCAGCAGAGAACCAGCCAGACTGCCACGCCGGGTCACTTTGTTTGGTGCCGTTGGCCACGGGCAGCTTTGGGGAGCACCTGGGGGGCGCCCACATGTCTGTGGACGTGGTTCCCGAGCTCCCAAAACTACACTGAGCCTGTAACATGAAGTCCACTAATGGGAGTTTATGCAATTTTGTCTCAGGGTTTTGAACCACGAGGGACTACAATAGGCCAGAGACTGGTCACGTGGAATAACATGGTGAAAAATACAGGATACAAAGCGACACTAGCAAATTACCCTTTTAAGTATGCAGATGAACAAGCCAAAAGGTAATTATTCACTTTTACACAAAACATTGCTTAACGAATTCCACTTTTAGGCAGTGCCTGAGCAAAACGATCAAATGCAAGTGTGTGGCCCAAAAGTGGAAAGTGAGGGTTTGGGGTTTTTTTCTTTTACAGGAGTGAGAAAATGAATGTCAGTTGCTTATATTAATCCTTCTAATTTCAAGCGCTACGTAGGCCGTGACTGAGGACATGCTGTTACCGGTGTGCGTATTGGCCTTGAAATAGCTAGTGTTTTTGTTTTTAAATTCTTACTGCTGCATCGTGGTTGGCATTCATAGTGCCATGCATCGTGGTTGGCCACATGCCACTGAAGCTCACTCACATTGTCCTTCCATTTCAGCCATCGGGATGACAGGTGGTCCGATGATCACTATGAACGAGAGAAAAGAGAGGTTGACTGGAACTTCCATAGGGACAGCTTCTTCTGCGACGTTCCGAGTGAGTGGCCTCGCAGGTGAACAGCCCCTCAGGCCTCCGGTGCGCGAGTCGAGTGCGGTTAAACTAAGATGGGAGGAGGGCGTGCTGGTGTTGAAGCCGGCATTGGCTGGACCGGTAGTTTCCCTGCTCTGGACCAGCCAACCGTTAATCTGAATTTATTCACCTATAGTAAAAATTAGTAAGAGATTATTGAGTTCAGTTCAGTCTTACGGAAGATAAAATAGCTAATAAAATTCTTGACCTTGTCCCAAACTTTACGTCATCTTAAATTTCTCATATTATGGAAAAATATTTTCAGTCAGGTAATAAGTACATATTTTTGGATTGAACCCTGAAATGATCTGTCATCAGAAATACATTTTTTGAGCCTTGTGCCGTGCAGAAAGCATCTATCGACAGCTTCTCTGCACCTTGTTAGGCACTAGAGATAGAAGGATGTGCAGAATACAGCCCCGTGGGGCCAGCCCATAACGTGAGTGTGGCAGGCTGCGGGACATGTCAATGTCGTAGGCATGGAGACTTGCCACTTAGCTGCATAGACTGTGACTTTGAAAAATGTAAGACCTTCCCTAAGGTCAGTAATCCAGAGTTTAACGTAGAATCGCCAGGTGTCCAGGCGCGGGCAGCACATTCACTAGCAGCATCTGGTCCCAGGGAGGAACACGTGTGTTGTTTTCTGTGTCTTGTTAGAAAAGCTGGAGTCCGGTCAGCTGACCATCCTGGCTTCTCTCTATCAGGTGGTGCTATGTGTTTCTGATTAACCAGGACAGACATTAGCAAACTCATGATGTGGCCCCTCTGTGCGGCCCACCCGCGCTACACTTGAGCCCCCAGTATGGCTCCGCCTGGAGGAAAGCTGGCAGGCTCCCCGGAGGAGGTGTTTGTTTCCAGGGGCTTATTTTGCTCTTTAAAACCAATCAACATAAGATAATGGCCATTTGATGAAGAGATGAGTTTACTAAAGAAAACTTCATGATCATGAATCACAGCGTATGTTGGAAAGCTTTATTCATAAATTTGCAGATTGGTTTTCTTTTTTAGCACACTTAAGCATTTTAGATAATGTGAAGTGAATCCACTCTGTTTTATCAAATGAAGTTCTAATGACTGAGGAGGCAGAAACAGCACTTAACAAGCAGCTGTTTTTCCTTTACTTTTGTAACTGGGAGAGACGTGCTTGTGGTCCAGAGCCCGGGCTCAGAGAAGCTGTTCGTCCTGGTCACAGCAGGTCTGCCACCAGGGCCGCGCTCCGTCAGTCTGTCCCGCAGCCAGACTATTCAGAAGCACACTCTGTGTGAGTTTTCCCCAGTGTTTGTTCTAGGCTCCGGTGTAGCAGAGAGAACGCGGACCCAGCCAGAACGCGGAGTATGTCTGCACCCCTGGGCAGCCTCAGTACTTGGTGGACTGTTCCTGGTGCTCTTGAGTTGATCCCCATTGTTCGTCCCCATCCCTGGTTCACAGCCACAGAAAACACCAACTCCTGATGTCCAGCACCGCCGTCCTGGGCTTTATCCACCCGTATGGTGATGTGTTTCGAAGTTAAGAGGGAGGCAGGCAATTCATTCCAATCACTCTTCCTGATCATACTTTGATCAGAAATAGGTTTGTTATATGACTCCTACGATTTTTAAGATGTAGTGAGTAGACAAAGGCTTTGAATCAAAATACTGTTATAGCATTGTTTTTTGTTTTACATTTTTCTGCCGGAAAATGAGGAAAGGATCCCCTGCTGTTAATGACTTGGGTTTTCCCATTCAGGCTGTTCCTGAAAGCTGAGTCTGATGAAATAAATGGACAATTATAAACCTTTTTCTTTTCTTTTTTCATGTCACCAGGTGACCGATATTCCAGAGTAGTGTTTACGGCAGCTGGAGGGGGGACACTATGGAATTTACCTGCAATTAAATCCATGTGCAGTGTAGACAACTCAAGGGTATGTAAGCAAAACTGAAATATGTTTGGAACAGATAAGGTATTTTTGAAAGTCCTTTCCCTGCTGATGTGGTGACCGCTGGAATGAGAGTGTTCCTGGTGCCTGAGCCCTGGGGACCACCCGCCAGAGGCTGGTCCCCCACGATCTTACATCCCCAGACCCAGGTGCCTCTGCACCCCCGTGTTCTTCAATAAAGAACTCTTTCTTTCCTACGCCTCGTTCTCTGTCCACAGTCTTTAATTTCACAGGATATCTCCTTTTCGTGGTTGTGTTGGGTCTTTCCTAAGCCGCTTCCGTGTTTCCTTGGGTCAGCGGCCCAACCAGGCCGTGGGCTGCCTGCCTCCCTGGCAGCCGTGGGTCTGTGGGGCAGATCAGGGCACAGGCTGGGGAAGGGCCATCGAGGTGCACATATGTGTGTGAGTGGTGAGCGCTCCAGTCCAGGTTGCCCTGGACAACACAAGATGCCCTCTGCTCTTAGTGTCTGGAGCCGGCGGATGTTACCCCAGAAAACGTGGAGTCGGCCTCCAGGCTCAGCTCCGTGTGCTCAGAGGCAGATGCTCTGAGTAGAGACTGCCGTCGGGGTCACTGGTGCACCTGTCCCAGCAGGTGCCCAGGCAGGGAAGGAGCTCACCGCTCTCCTAGCATCACTCTTAATGCCTAAAGCCCCTGGTTCCCTGGAAATCTGACCGTGTGCCCTCCCAAGAGTGAGCCCAACACCCCAGGGCCCTGGCCATGGGGCTTCTCGGGGAAGCAGACAGGGCTCTGGGAGGCCACGGGGCCAGCACCCACCGTGTTGATGCGTGAACCTCCCAGGAACTGAGTGGCTCGTCCAGGTCACCCCTGGGCCCTGTGACTCTCCTCCTCATTCTGAACAACTGTGCGTCTTCTCCTGCTGGTCGGCCATCAGGAATTTCTGTGAGTGCCGTCTTCTGTCTGTCCAGCTCCAGCAGACCAAAGTCACAAGCCACCGAAGTGTCTTAGTCAGTGGTCGGGTTTCATTTGCCTTATTTTCTTCTCTTCTCCAGCTATTGGCTCATTATTTGGAAACTGAACAAGTTACAGCCCTTCTCGTATGGAGAGCTAACTCTCCAGGAGTAAAGGCGCAGCCCTACTTAACACGCGTGAGACTTCCTGCCTGGCACCTTCCCGCGGCCCCGCGCCCTGGTGCCCGCAGCTCCTTTTCACACATGGTTGTGTGGTAACCACCCTCTCAGGAGAACAGTGTGGTGACTCCACAGCTGCTGGTCCTTGTTTTCCAACCTTCGCTGTTGACCTTTAACCTTCCCTCCCCAAAGACTCAGAAGAGACCGGATTCATGCAGCTGATTCAAAGCTTGTGTGTGTTGGGTTTTGTTGAATTTGTCAGGATGTGTTCCAGACACTGGACTGTTTCGTTAAGTCTCTGTGATAGTGTCGTGAATTACAGTCCTATTACTGGCCTGTTTTGTGGATGGGCAAGGTCCACGCAGATGCCAAGTGGCAGATGTGGATTTGAACCCAGCCTAACATTAGTCTGTGTTTCCTGCCATGCATCACACTGCAGAAGACGGCCACCCGTCTTCTGTTTGTCTCGTGTTATCACACAGGCCCTTTCCCACCAAAGTGATCCTCACAGAGCCCTCGTGGCCTAGAATGAATACCTTTTGTTACAAGAGCAACAGCTGATCCTGTGAGTACTGCTGGGTGCTGAATAGACCCAGAGCCGCATGGGAGCGACGCTGTTCCATGTACATGTGGGTGTGTATCAGATGCGGTCAGATGATAGACACCAGCAGGAGCAGGTAGCTCACAAAAAGGCTGATGGGGTAGAATTAAAGGGACAGGAACAGTGTGGTCCACACGCAGTGGTGCATGCCCACGGTCTTCCACGCTAGCTGGCCGTGAGCTGCACTCCACCTCCCCCTTCCCTGGTAGCCAGAGCAAAACAGAATTCACACTTGGTGACAAAAGTCATGTAAATAGGGCAACAAACATGTTTTATAAATATTGTTAATATTTATTTCTGAGAGAGAGAGAGACAGCGTGAGCAGGGAAGGGTCAGAGAGAGAGGGAGACAGAATCTGAAATAGGCTCCATGTTCTGAGCTGCTGTCAGCACAGAGCCTGATGCGGGGCTCAAACCCACGAACTATGAGATCATGACCTGAGCCGAAGTCTGACGCTTAACCCACTGAGCCACCCAGGCGCCCTAACAAACATGTTTTAGAAGATCCTCCGCTTCCCCTCCTACTAATATGGGGAGCACCATCCCCATGGCCTCAGTAGAACAAGTGAGGTGTCCCACACAAAGTCCTTAATTACCAGTGTGCTTACGGGATGCACAGTGTTGAATTGGAGACCCAGCCGTGTCTTAGGCTGGCAGCCAGAGGAATGTTACGGCAAAAGCAATTTCTACAAGGGATTAAAAGCAATAAAATCTGAATATGTGGCTTCCCAATGGTTTGGCATATGATGCATTTGCAAAATTTAGACTATTGAAGGAGCAGTGTCTCTCTTGTCTGTTTTCCCGATGTGCACTCGTAATCAGGACCAGATGGCCATGGGTTCGTATATGTGCTGCCGAAGCGAGCACCAGATGGCCATGGGTTCGAATTCATGATTCCTGCAAGAACGTGGCAAGCATGTAGTCTTCTGAAATTTTCAGGAGCTGACCCACAGTGTGTCTGCCTGAAGGCTCAAGCCAGTTACAGATTCACAGCGACACATGAGAAAATAGGGGCTCAGGGCCCCAGAATTCTACCTGATAGGGCAGGTTATAATTGTCCTTGTTAAAGACTATTTATACTAGTTGCACACGTGGCCTCTGCAGTGAGTACAGAACAATATACATTTCTCGCAGAGATCGCATATTCCCTGACATCCTACGTAAAAACTCAGCCTGCAGATGACTACTGTTCCCTTTCCAGGCCTCCAGGGTCAGAACCTTTTGCAGAGTGTTATTTGTCCTGGTCATGGTTCGTGTAAACTGTGTGCACAGGCTACTTGTCAGCCTGCCCCTTCTACTCCCCTCACACCCAGCTCTTGTGCTCAAGTAGCCACCAAGCTGATGGGATCCACACCACGTGGTACCGAGCAAGAGGGCTTAACTGTGGGTGTGACGACTGGAAAATGGCCTGTAATCGAGGAAGAGTCTCAGGCCACGTGTGTCCCTTGTCACCTGCCTGTGTTTGCAACACACTGAGCTCCAACCCCAGCTTCCATAATAATTATGTGCCCCTTTTGTGCATGATTCCCATGGGCTTTGGTTTCCAGAGCGAGTGGTCCTGTTTCTGATGCTGTCTCTACCCACTGACAGAACACTCGCGTCCTCAGCGAACTCCCCAGATTTTCATTACTTTTCTTGCCTTGACACCCCCAGGGACACACTGGCAGATGGCCATTAGCAGCCAGTGTTTCTCGGGTCCTGACTCTGCTGGAAACCCTTTACCCTGATTCTTAGGCTTTGCCCATCATGGAAGTTAGCACTGAAGCAACCAGCTTGTCAAAGAGTTGTGGGATTTAGTGCCAAACACCCTGTTTACTGGGTACGTTTAGTGGACACACGAGCTCCCTGTAACTTTGCGGACTCCAGAAATATGCTTCCTGGGGTGCTTGTTTTACAGAGGACAGTGGGGCCCCTCCTGTGCCTCGTCTCCCTGGGTCCCTTGAGCTTTTAGTACGAGAGGGATTTTGTCACGTGGAAGGAGAGTGGATGAGACCCTGTACTGAGGCGTATTCTTGATCGTCATTCTTTTCTCAGCCTTTTAAAATGTCTCCAGCCTCGGGGCGCATGGGTGGCTCAGTCGGTTAAGCGTCCGATTTTGGCTCAGGTCATGATCTCCCGGTTCATGGGTTCAAGCCCCACATCGGGCTTTGTGCTGACAGCTAGCTCAGAGCCTGGAGCCTCTCTTCAGATTCTGTGTCTCCCTCTCTCGCTGACCCTCCCTCACTTGCACTGTCTCTCTCAAAAATAAATAGAACATTAAAAATCTTAATAAAAAATAAAAATAAAATGTCCCCAGCCCAGCCAGTAGCTTTACAAGTTAAGGCATCATTGCAAACTCTGCTGGTTTCTTCTTTTCTCTCTTCTCTTGCCTCCTCTCATTCTAAGTTCGCCTTACCCCTGCTGCTGTCTGGCAATGGACATGTGCCCAGACCTGTTACAGCCACAGAAGCAAAATGACTCCCTAAAAATGTCCCATCTGTGACTGATGAGAACAGAAAGGGCCACCTTCTCTTAAGTAACAAGAAATTACTTTCACTAACTTCTGATTTTGAGAATTTAAAAGATTTTGAAATCATTCCTATGAATCTATTCCCCAAAAGCCTGGCAGCAAACATACCTGCCTTCTGCGTGAAGATTGCCTCCTTGCAATCTCTTTAAGCCCCACAGTACCATAAATGCCTGTGAATCTCACCATTCCCGTCATGAACAACCAAACCCTTTAGACTTGGGTGCCCCTTCTGCAAGTTCACACAGACCCTTACACATATATGCTGTTTCCTGTGTTGAGTTATAATGGCTGATCTTTTTATTTCTCTGCCTCACTATGTGCAACTCAAGGGCAAGGACCACTGTCCCTTATTCTTCATGTGTACCTTCTCAATAAGTATTATTTTTCTTATGAGTGGATGGATGGGTAGATAGATGGGTGGATGGACAGATGATGAATGGGTGGTAAGCAGATGGATGTGTGGACATATGGACGGGTGGGTAGATGGACATTGGGTGAATGGGTTGGTAGGTAGATGGGTGGACATATGGATGGGTGGGTGGGTGGATAGATGGGTAGATGGATGGACATGGACGCGTGGGTGGATAGATGAATAGGAACATATGGCCTTACTTCCTGAAAGCCTAAACATTCTCTCGGGCTCCATCCCTTTAGATTCAGGTGCTGGGATCCAACTTGGGGTAAAGATTATCAGTCACAACATCTTTTCTCTGTCCTTTCTAACCCTGTCAGGGTCCTCAAGAACTGTTTGGAAGGTTGTACATCAGCCAACACCACCTTTGGATTTGACAGCTGGTCTCCAGGGCTCCCACTGGCATGTGTTTTTGATAATAACCATCAAAATATGACTGTCTTCAGTCTGCATTTATCTTGTCTAACTTTGTAATCTCCAGTCAGACACACACACACAAACCCAGTTATTACTTGAAAAGGTTATTGAAGGTTATTTCTTTCCTAGTTTTAGCTGGCAACCCTGTTTCCTTTCTCTCTGGCATGTGGTTATTTCAACACCTGCAAGTGTATAACTCTCAGCTGACAGGCTTCGTGATGGATGCATTTTCCTCCGTCTGAAACTGTCAGGCGTCAGGGCTGCATTACCTTTCTCCTGAGTCACCAGGCCAACTCTAGGGGCAGTGTGATACTTCTTAGTAGGACAAAACTGGTTATCTGCCATGAAAACCAGAGAGCTGCTATCCCAGAGTTTCCCCTGAGTTACTGTATGTGAATGCTTTTACCTACAAAGAATTAAATACTAACTCTACTGGTTTATAAAATGTCAAATAATTATTGCTCTTTAGAAATGAGCCTAAAAATTAAGACTTTATTAAAATAAACATTATTTTAGTACACCTGAGTCATAACCCTTTGGGCTCATTTTTCTTTGCCTTCAACAGAGTAGCCTTTAAAAAATTTTTTATTATGGAAATTATCAAATGTATGCAGAAGCAAACCGTTATAACAAACCCCCATGGCGGGTCGCCTGGCTCTAATGCTTGGGTTACACGTGCCGTGTTGTTTCCTCTGCCAGGACTGGTCCCGCTCAGGTTTCTGGACAGCCAGGGGCGTAGGAAGGCAGTTCTTGGGTGAGTCTAAGGTCCAAAGAGATGATCCGTACCAGCGTTCCCTTTGCTTTGCGAAGATACTTCAGCGTATGATTGATTAAGCATAAGGGTGGAGTGGTTTAATCCCCGTAGAAGAAACAGTCACACCCTTCTTGAACTTTGCAGTTTCCTCCTTGGAACAGCCTTTGGTAAATAGAGATGAGTGGGTCACCTTCCAAAGAGAAGTCTCTGGCAGGCCCCTAAAGGTTTCCGATTAGAGGATATTTCCTAAACTCGCCCTCAGGGAAGAGGGGCCACTCACGCAACTCACAGGTTTGTGCGGTGGTGGGATTGTGGGCAGGCGTCACTGTGTTCCGGCAGTGCCACCTCAGGCACCAGAGTAGTGTTTCAGTTTGCTGTAACAACAACCAAAAGAAGGAAGGCCGGCCCCAGGGACAATGTTCTAAGTGAGATACTGTCCGCGCTAAATCCAGAACTGTCATGGTGCTGATACGCAGAAGACCCCGCTTTACCAAAACCCCAAAAGGAGTTTTAGCCATCTTGAATAAGCCTGTAAGGATGTGGAAGAAATAAAGTCCTTCTTCTTTGTTTTATTAACTGTACGCATATTATTTAAAATCAGAAATGTGGGATATTTAATTTAGGAACATCGATCCTGACATCACCAGGGTCACTTCCAGGCTCACTGGCAGTTTTCTGGGGAATATCATCTTGGCTTCCAGCTAAGCTGGTTGAGATCTAGTACCTTTGTCACCAAAGGTTTCATGCCGATGACCAGAAATTTTAGGCAAAGCCACCAATTTGCCCCTCTATCAGTTGGACGACTGTTCTCTGTTCTCTGAATTAATCCTGCTGATGTGTATAAGTAAGCCTCACAGCCCATCCTTTCTGTTGCTTTTTAAAAAGACTCTGGAAGACCTGTTTCCTAAAAAGGTGCTAACTTTGTCTCCTTAAAACCAAACCACCAGTGGTTTCACACTGGCGTGTCAGCGCGTGCTGAGCAGTTTGCTGCACGGAGGGCAGTGCCCGGCGGGCACCCCGCAACACAGGCTTGGGGGTGTCCACCTGTGTCCCAGGAGGATGTTACTTAGCCTGTACGACGCCCCCCGCCCTCCAGGCCGCCTTAACTCGAACTATGGGGGAAGCGGTTTTAAACGCCGGTCTCCGCGTGTCTCTCCCTGCAGATCAGAGCCCACCCGCAGTTCGGGGACCTGTGCCAGAGGACCACGGCTGCGTCCTGCTGCCCGAGCTGGACGATAGGGAACTACATCGCAATCCTCAATAACCGGTCATCCTGCCAGAAGATCGTCGAGCGAGACGTGGCTCACACCCTGAAGCTGCTGCGGGCCTGCGCCAGGCACTACCACAACGGCACGCTGGGGCCCGACTGCTGGGACGCGGCAGCCAGGAGGAAGGGTCAGCTCAAGTGCACAGGCGTGCCCCGCAAGTGCACCAAGTACAACGCCGTGTACCAGATCCTGCACTACTTGGTGGACAAAGACTTCATGGCCCCAAAGACCGCCGACCCCGCCGCACCCGCCTTGAAGTACAGCATGCTCTTCTCCCCCACAGAGAAAGGGGAGAGCATGATGGACATCTACCTGGACAACTTCGTGGACTGGAACGGCTCGGATGGTGTCACCAGCATCGCCGGGATCGAGTTCGGCATCAAGCACAGCCTGTTCCAGGACTATCTCCTGACGGACACGGCGTACCCGGCCATTGCCGTCCTCCTGGTCCTGCTGGTCATGTGCGCCTACACCCGGTCCCTGTTCATCACCCTGATGACCATGTTTGCCGTCATCAGCTCCCTGATTGTCTCCTATTTCCTCTACCGCGTGGTGTTCAACTTTGAGTTCTTCCCGTTCATGAACCTCACTGCGCTTGTCATCTTGGTCGGGATTGGTGCAGATGATGCGTTCGTCCTGTGTGACGTTTGGAGCTATGCCAAGTTCGACAAGCCCCGCGCGGGGACGGCGGAGACAGTGGGTGTCACCCTGCAGCACGCAGCGCTGTCCATGTTCGTCACCAGCTTCACCACAGCCGCTGCCTTTTATGCCAACTACGTGAGCAACATCACGGCCATCCGGTGCTTCGGAGTGTACGCGGGCACGGCGGTCCTGGTGAACTACATGCTGATGGTCACGTGGCTTCCGGCCGTTGTCGTCCTGCACGAGCGGTACCTTCTCAACATATTCAGCTGCTTCAGGAAGCCGCAGCAGCAGGCCTACGTTAGCAAGAGCTGCTGGACGGCGGCTCGCCAGAAGTGCCACAGGCTGCTGTTTGCCGTCTCGGAAGCATCGCGAATTTTCTTTGAGAAGGTGTTGCCATGCGTGGTCATTAAGTTTCGCTACCTTTGGCTGTTCTGGTTCCTGGCCCTGACCGTGGGCGGGGCCTACATTGTGTGCGTGAACCCCAAGATGAAGCTCCCTTCCCTGGAGCTGAATGAGTTCCAACTCTTCAGGGCCTCGCACCCCTTTGAGCGCTACGACGCCGAGTACAAAAAGCTCTTCATGTTTGAGCGCGTGCACCGCGGGGAAGAGCTGCACATGCCCATCACGGTGGTCTGGGGCGTGTCCCCAGAGGACAACGGTGACCCCTTGAACCCCAAGAGCAAAGGGAAGCTGGCCCTGGACGGCAGCTTTAACATTGCAAGCCCTGCGTCCCAGGTGTGGATCTTGCACTTCTGTCAAAAACTGAGAAACCAGACTTTCTTTCACCAGACAGATGAGCAGGACTTCACGAGCTGCTTCATCGAGACATTCAAGCAGTGGATGGAGAACCAGGACTGTGACGAGCCAGCTCTGTACCTGTGCTGCAGGCGCTGGAGCTTCCCCTACAAGCAGGAGATCTTCGAGCTGTGCATCAAGAGAGCCATCATGGAACTGGAGAGGAGCACGGGGTACCACCTGGATAGCAAGACCCCAGGGCCAAGGTTTGACATCAACGACACCATCAGGGCCGTCGTGCTCGAGTTCCAGAGCACCTACCTCTTCACGCTGGCTTATGAGAAAATGCACCAGTTTTACAAGGAGGTGGATGCATGGATCTCCAGGGAGCTGAGTTCGGCTCCCGAGGGCCTCAGCAATGGCTGGTTTGTCAGCAATCTGGAGTTCTATGACCTGCAAGACAGCCTCTCCGATGGCACCCTCATCGCGATGGGGCTCTCCGTGGCTGTGGCGTTCAGCGTGATGCTGCTCACCACCTGGAATGTCTTCATCAGCCTCTTTGCCATCGTCTCCATCACAGGAACCATATTTGTCACAGTGGGCTCACTTGTCCTGCTGGGCTGGGAGCTGAACGTTCTGGAGTCCGTGACCATCTCCGTGGCTGTTGGCCTGTCTGTGGACTTCGCCGTCCACTATGGGGTGGCTTACCGCCTGGCCCCAGATGCCGACCGAGAGGGGAAGGTGATCTTCTCCCTGAGTCGCATGGGGTCCGCAATGGCCATGGCTGCCCTGACCACCTTCGTGGCCGGGGCCATGATGATGCCGTCCACGGTTCTGGCATACACCCAGCTGGGGACCTTCATGATGCTCATCATGTGCGTCAGCTGGGCTTTTGCCACCTTCTTCTTCCAGTGCCTGTGCCGCTGCCTTGGGCCACAGGGCACCTGTGGTCAGATTCCTTTACCCAGAAGACTCCAGTGTGGTGCCTTCTCCCATGCCATGTCCACGAGCCCCGGTGACAAGGGACAAAGCAAAACACATACCGTGAATGCTTATCATCTCGATCCCAGGGCCCCCAAATCCGAAATGGAGCATGAGTTTTATGAGTTGGAGCCTCTGGCGTCCCACAGCTGTAGCACCTCTGGGGAGACCCACATCTGCTCTGAATTTTTCAACAGCCACGTGAAGAACTCAGGGATGCCGGTGCGTGCAGCGTACAGCAGAGGCACCGGGAACGACAGCAGCAGTGCCTTGTTTCCGCCCCCTCTCGAGCAGCACGCCCTGTGTCACTTCTCTCTGAATCAGAGATGTTCTTGCCCAAATGCCTACAGACATTTGACGCCTGGCCCGCACACCGGCCAGCAGGCAGGTGACAGCCTGTGTCCCTGGTGTGCCGCCCCCGCCAGCAGCTTCGTGCATGTGCAGAAGGGCACACACCAGGTCCCCGATGGCTTCATGTGCGCCGTCCAGCACGTCCGCCACTGTCCCTGCCTGCAAGGTGGAGCGAAAGCACCGGGACCGCAGAATCCTCTGCCCACGAGCTTTGTCCTCCACCCCGTGCAGCATATTCAGGCCCCAGAGAAGACCTGTGCACACAGTCTTCCGAGCGTGGAGCACAGTCCCCAGATGGCGGGGCCGTCGCCCTGTGTCTGTAGAGGCCCTGGGTCTCCACAGAAAGTGCACTGTGATCCTGAGAACAGCCAAAGGGGACTCGCTAGGAACAGAGACATCGGGCACAGGGAGGGTGGCGGAGGGGCTGGGAACCAGGGCTCGGGCCCAGGGGGTCAGACGGACAAGACAGACAGGACCACAGAGCTGCACTTGTCACAGAACCCGGAACAGTCAGCTCAGAGTGAACCACGCTTGGTGTTTAACCACGTAACAGGGGACGCACAGCCTGGGTCCTGCCCAGAGGGCGACTCTGTGGACAGTGAGGCCAGTGTGCCCTCTGCATTCACACACTCGGAACTTTCTGGTGAAAGTTTGTTAATAAAAACCCTCTAATAAATATAGTGTTAAATTCAGAACTGATGCCTCTCAGTTGTTCCTTTGAAATGGAGGTAAAGTCTGTAAGTTTGGAAAGGGAGCCCAAAAATGCATGAGCAAGTTCCACTGTGTTAAAACTCATGAAGTATTTTTATGTTTTTTTCTTTTTAAAAAAATTTTTGATGTCTTTATTTTGAGAGACAGAGAGCGAGCAGGGGAGGGGCAGAGAGAAAGGGAGACACAGAATCAGAAGCAGGCTCCAGGCTCCGAGCTGTCCGCACAGAGCCTGACGTGGGGCTCCAACCCACAGACTGTGAGATCATGACCTGAGCCGAAGTTGGACGCTTAACCGACTGAGCCACCCAGGCGCCCCTATATTTTTTATGATAAATGAACAAACTCCCATTTCTATTGAGCGTTGTCAGATTACTGGGTTTTATATTTTCAAACAGCTTAAAGTTGTTTTTTACCTTAATACCCGGCTTGACGAGCACCTGTCCAAGTCTCTGCCGTCCCGTAGCCGTGAGCCAGAGAGCAAGGTTCCAAGGTGCCCAGGAGCTCAGGTCTCCCTGGCCACGAGGGTCACCCCACACCCTGATTCTGGGGCGTCTGGTTGCCCCACAGAAGCCCTGATTTTATGAGAGCCACTTTGGCTGGGGTCCAGGAACTACATAGCAGTGAGGCCTCACGTAAAAGTCACTTCCCCGTCATGTTAATGGCACATTCTGTCCATCTGCATGAGTAGACTGTACATGAAGCCAGTAACTCATTTCTGTCCAAATCAGGGTCTTCTCCACACTAACCAAAACGTACTATTGTTCCCTTATTACACCTGATAAGCTGGGGGTGAGGGCCGCGTCCGGGTCAGGCCACATGTCCCGCCCGGAGAGCACGTGATAGGGTGCATTTGATAGACTCGGGTGAGACGGACCACGGCCCCTCAAAGCTTTCGGGGTGAGGGGGCTTCCCCTGTGAAGTGCCCCCCACAGCTGCCCCCGTGCCCCTCGCATCCTGCCTCTAGCTGGGTCCTCTGAAGAGAGCAGGGGAAATGCTTTCAATACCGTGTTCTTTCCCCAAACCCTGTTGCTTGTTTTCTGAGAATCATTGTCCAAATTGGCTCTGAATAGTGTGCTAGGGCCTGGAAAAGCTGTCAGAGTCTGAAGGGACCCTATGGCTCCCTGGCTCCAGCACACAGGTCTGTTAAGTAGCTTTCCAGCTTCTTTGTTACTTGCATGATGAGGGGCTCACTACCAGGTCACGTGGCTGCCCCCAGGTCTGGTCCCCAGCTGATTCTCCTCCTGCTCTCTGAAGTGAGAGCACGGTCTCTGATCCTTCTGCTGCGTGGCCTCCACAACACGTCCCTCCACTGTCCCCCGCCAGGTTTGGATGGATCAGACACCGGCTGCACGGTCGTAGCCTCCGCACAGTCCCTGCCACGTGTAGGCCCCGAAACCGGGACCGCACGGGCTCCTGTTAGTTCACTCAGGCGGAAGTAATGCATGGCGAGGACGTCACAGCCGGGTCTCGGGCGGCAGTGGGGGCACTGAGCCACTGAGTCACGTGGCCTGCGGCTGAGCCACTGTGGAGCCGGTTAGTGCTCTGTCCTGAAGCTCAGGACTCTGTGTCCTTCCCTGTTGCGCTTGACTCTGTGAGGAAGGTCTGGATGTGGCAGAAGACAGGACACTTGAAAATAGGATTTTTACTCCTGGGACGTGTAGCCGTGAAGTTGGCTAGTGAAGGTTCAGGGACCCAGAGCACTTTCCTGCTGGCGCAGACACCGACTGGAGACACATTTCCAGCTTTCCACCCCATTGCTGCCCTGAACCCTGAGTGTGGCGGGTCCATCTCTGGACTCTGGGCTTTGAACTATGTTTTCATGCAGGGATTTCTTAAAGAATTTGTTAGCTGGGACTAGAAAGCTTTTTCTTTTTTTTAAGTCCTCATTAGTGGGCAGCAAAGGGCCCCTATTTCTAGTTTTGTCTCACCAAGAAGTCTCATCCACAGTCCCGGTGGAGAGAAGGAGTCAAATTACACATGGGGAAAAGAGCCCTTTCCCTGTGAACTGTTTCCACGCCATCCGTTACTACAACAGAAAAGTACCTTCAGCTGTGAGTCCACGTTCCCAAATTTGTCCCTGACTTTTTCCCTCCAAGCTCACTTCTTAAATCTCAACTTGGTTGAAAAGTACAATAGGCCAAGAGCACAAAGTTTTTCAGAGAAGAGCCGCGTTGATTGAAATAAGCTGCCTGCCTCATCCATGTTTGTTCGTTTCTCCTGTAAAACATCCTGCCTCCTGAAACGATAAAGTTAGGCTTTGCTGTTGTGGTATTAAATTTCATTATGATACTCTGTGCTGCGGCCGTAACCATTCTAAATTTTGAAACTATTGCAACAGGTGATCGGAAGGCTAGTTTTACAAGTGGGGTTTTGCAGAAGATAAGGAAGGGGTCCTGATTCACTCGCCTCACATGGAAACTACCTTCCCCCAGGAGCCGCGACACTTTCAGAATGAAACATGAGCAAACAATGACCGAACGCAGTTGTCTTTTCTCTAACAAGGAGAGTCATTTTAGAAGAAAAAGTTAAGTCTCTGTTAAAAAAAACATCCAAAGATTCCATTGCATTTTTTTTCATAAGATTCAGACACAACCAGGAACATAGAAATTTGCCGAAATCATGAGGGCATTTTTTTTTTTAATGCAGAAGAAACTGTCATGTTCAAATACCCTTTATGGATCATGGATCTTTCCAGAATGTTCACTGGCATTTAATTTGGTTATTTCCAATTCTATATTAATCTATGTGGGGGTTTTTTGTAAAGCAGGCACTTTCGTTAATGTTTGGTTTTGTACACTACAAGGTTTCAGATCTTTGCATTAAAAATATGAGAAAAACGATAAGTAATGAATATCTATGATTGATTAGTAGAATTTTTTGCCTTTTTTTCTTAACAATGTTTTAACTGCCCAAATTTTGGATTTTTCATGAAAAAAACAAAACCAAGAGCGTAACTTCTATTCTCATAATGTGTAGAGAGCACAGTATGTGCCCACAGGAGCAGCTGAGCGAATGACCAGGGTCAGCACAGATCCATCAGTGGCTTGCTGTCGGGGACAGGTGTCCACGGCACATCACAACCCCCCTGAGACCTGGGGCAGCTTGCGGTTCGAGTGGGGCAGACAGCAAAGCTGTGACGCCCTGCATTCAGAAGGGCTCTTCCCTTCCCGGCCTGGATTTCCTCTAGGGGCTTTGTTTTCAGTAACCTAGAGAGCCGTAGACTTTTAACTTGAGTAAGAAGGTATGTGGTGGCAGAAGTGCATGGTGGCCCCGCCCTGAGACTTGGTGACATGCCACACATCCTGTGTGCAGTTCAAGCAGAACAGCTAAACAGATGTGTTCTCAGGAGTGCACACTGAGGGGGTTGGGGGGGGGAAGGTTCTTGTGCGGTTGCAGATCTCTTGTCACACAGTCCAGGCGGTGAATGTCAGGCGGGGACCTTCCCCGCCAGTCCCGCCTGACCACACAGCGCCTGTCCGTCCGAGAGTAAGCGGAGGCTAGAAAAGCGAAGTTTAAGATGAAATTCAACCCCTCCTCTAAATCACTGTGATTCAGAAAACACGTAGAGACAGATCATGCCTTGGAAACAAAAACTGATTTTTCTCGTCTGTAGATTGATTGTTACAAACCGTACTGGAGGCAGAGCTCATCCTGAATCTTGAGCCCCTTTAGACAGGAGGGAAGGTCTTCTGTTCTTTGTGTTTTGTTGCCATTTTTGGGTCTGGGGAGAATCAGGCGATGGGTCCTTGACACAGTGTGGTGTCCTGAGTGACCACAGGACACCGCCCTGGCTTGTTTGTGTAGGGTCCCTCTGGCATCTCTGCAGGCGCTAATGAATGATTGCCTGATTATCTGTCTCCCTCACTAGACTGATTCCTTGGGAGACGAAGCCCCTACGGTGCTCGGTGCTCTTTGCTCTTCGGAGGGGCACCGCGCCGAAGCAACAGCCTCACTGAAAGCCGCGTGCAGGGCACCAGGAGGGAATCTGACGAGGGGGAGTCCTTGTCAGGAAAGCTTCAGTCGTTAAGAGGCAGAGCTGATGCCCCCAAGAAAAAAAGACTGCAAATCAGGTGACTGTACAAGAAGACTTGTTTATTTTTTTAATTAAAAAAAATTTTTTTAATGTTTTTTAAATTTATTTTTGAGAGAGAGAGCGAGAGAGAGACAGCATGAGCAGGGAAGGGTCAGAGAGAGAGAGAGAGAGAGAGAGAGAGAGAGAGACAGAATTTGAAGCAGGCTCCAGGCTCTGAGCTGGCTGTCAGCACAGAGCCCGACGGGGGCTCGAACCCACGAACTGTGATATCATGACCTGAGCCGAAGTCGGACGCTTAACTGACTGAGCCACCCAGGTGCCCCAAGACTGAGCCACCCAGGTGCCCCAGGTGTTTAAATGGGGGCATGAGGGTGTTGGGTCCGCGTGTCTCACGCATATTAGAATTGCCTGGGATAAAGCAGCAAGGCCTTAAAAAAAGATTTGCAGTTAAAAACCAAACCTGAGGAACAGGACCCCTCCCGAATCCATAAACTAAAGCTGGCAATGGACTCAGGGTGGCAAGGACTTGACTGACGAGACACGCTCTGCACAGGTGCTGCCCCAGCCGCGTCACTCTCCTCGGGGGAGCACAGTCTGCGGACTGTTAGCTTCAGACGCCATCTGTGCACGACGGCAGGTGCATGTGGTGTGGAGAGTGTGCACACGCGGCGGCTCCAGTGCAGGTATTTCCACAAACACTTCGGAGTAACAAAGACTTTATCCTTCTCCAGTCTGTCTCCCTGCGACATCCCTGTGTTTTCAATAAGCTGCATTTGCTTCTGTTCTAGAAGTTGTATCAATGTTTTCATCCCTTATATTCTTGGGGTCACCTGTATGTGATCCTCATTTAATATTTTAAAAATTTTTATTTCTTTTATTTTAGAGTGCGAGCAGGGGAGAGGGAGAGGGAGAGAACCCCAGTCAGGCTCCACACTGTCAGCACAGAGCCTG